ATATATATATATATATATATATATATATATATATATATATATACATGGTTTTCCTTGTATTTTTGTTTAAATTAATTCTTTTCTATTTTAAATTCCGTTGGCCTGAAAAATGAAGGGAAGGAAAAGAAATAACAAAACTTTAGACTTCTTGTAGTCGAGAATTCTTGTAGTGAAGTTAGTTTTAGTGTTAGGTATATTTAGTTACATACGTAAAAAGATCAGTAACTTTCTGCGAGTTTAATGAGTCAAATATGTAAAATAAAAACACACGTCAAAAATACCTTAAAAACCATATCCCCACAAGCAAATCAATGGCAATTAGACCAACAGTTAGAGAAAAACAGTACAATTAGCAGTTACTTAGTACCTTTCATCCATTCATTAATTCTTAAATTATGCAAATTTTGTTACCATCTTTTTCTCCTTACAATTGAGTGTAATATCACCTTCCTTTATAGCTTTATAAGTAAGAAAATGTAACATTCTGCCTCGTCTATTACCCTTATTTCTACCTTTCAAAATTTCATTTTTGACTCTGAGCTTCGAATAGAACAATGGATACTACGAAGAAAAAAGAGAAGAAGAAGGAAGTGATACGATTAGAACGAGAATCTGTCATTCCTGTTCTTAAATCCAGGCTAATTATGACATTAGCCAATTTAATCGAACAGGATTCAGATCGCGATGAATTTCTCAAGCTATGCAAACGAGTTGAGTACACAATTCGCGCGTGGTACCTTATACAATTCGAAGATTTAATGCAATTATACGCGTTATTTGATCCTGTCCACGGTGCTCAAAATCTCGAGCAACAAAAATTATCAGATGAAGATATCGACGTACTTGAACAAAATTTCTTGAGATATTTATTCCAAATTATGGACAAGAGCAACTTCAAAATCGCGACAGATGAAGAGCTAGAAATTGCGAATTCAGGGCAATATTTGTTAAATCTACCAATAACGGTTGATGAATCTAAGCTTGATACTAAGTTATTGTCTAAGTATTTCGCGAACCATCATCGCGATGAAAAACTCCCAGAGTTTGCTGATAAGTATGTTATTTTTCGTCGTGGCATTGGAATTGATAGGACGACAGATTGGTTTATTATGGAAAAAATTGACATGATTATTACGCGTACTTGGAAATGGCTATTGAAAAAAACGGGAGGAGATAAGTATTTTCGAAGAAAAATTAATAAGAAAAAGAAGCCTCTAAAGAAACGAATCCCTTCTGAAGAAGAACAAGATTTTTACGTTGAACGAATTCGAATCCAGAATATGGAACTTACTGTCCCAAATGTATTGGGAAAAATTACAATTCAAGAACCAACATTTGAAAGGATAATTGTGGTGTACAGACGAGCTAGTGAAGACGAAGAAAAACACGATAGAGGAATTTATGTGAAGCATTTGAAAAATATTCCAATGGCTGATTTAGAAATTGTTTTACCTGAGAAAAAGAATCCAAGTTTAACACCAATGGATTGGGTTCAATTTATTGCATCTGCAATTGTTGGTCTTTTTGCAGTTGTGACCTCTCTTGACATGCCAGAAGCTGATTTATGGGTTCTTTTTGCAATTTTATCCACAATAATTGGCTATTGCGCAAAAATTTACTTCACATTTCAACAGAATATGGCTCAGTATCAGAATTTGATCACACAGTCAATGTATGATAAACAATTAGACAGTGGACGTGGTACACTTCTACATTTGTGTGATGATGTGATACAACAAGAAGTTAAAGAAGTAATTATTTCGTATTTTATACTAATGGAACAAGGGAAAGCTACATTATTGGATCTTGATCAAAGATGTGAGGAATTAATTAAAGAAAGATTTGGAATAAGCTGTAATTTTGATGTAGATGATGCAGTTCAAAAGTTAGAGAAATTAGGAATTGTTTCAAAGGATGAAATTGGAAGGTATTTTTGTATTGGTCTTAAAAGGGCTAATGAGATTATTGGGACAACTACTGAAGAACTTGTTCTTAAAGCAAGACAAGGTCAAGGTCAACCTGCAATTACTGAATAGGAGAATTTTTATTAAGGGAAGTCAAAATATACAGAAATAAACTCACTAAGCAGTCAAGGGGTGTCGTTATATAGTATATATACATATTTTTTTTTAAAAAAAATAACCGAGTTATACAGTGTAATTTTCCGGTGAAGGGGTGTTGGTCGACAAACCTTTATTGCATGTGGCACCACCACTGGCTCTCGTATTAATCGCTCTGACTCATATATTAAATAGTTATTTTATGTGCCTGTTTATCATCCAGGAGCAGTCACGTGGTTTTCCCGGAGATCATCGTGAGTTCTTCGCCAAATTAGATGATTTTATTTTTTACCTATCTTTTGTAATTTTGTTTCTATTTTAGTTTTTGTGAGAATAATTTGGAAGTGACTCGATGAGGAAAGTAAAAGGGTAACAGAAATTTCCTCAGCGAGTATTATCCAGAATTTTTCCTGTAATTTTTATTAATGCACATCTTAATTTTGTGTCAATTTTTAGCAAAAAGAATAAATGGAGTTGAATATTCTCAAATTGTCAGTATGTTATATTTTGTAGAATTCTTTATACTATATATATATATATATATAGTATATATATAGTATATATATACTATATACTATATATGGCCTTTGAGGAGGGACGATCTTAAGTGCCTCTACGTACAGAAAGAGGAGGAGGTCAGGGATCTCCGAGTCGAGTTGGCGAAGGCTCGTCAAGAACAAACCGAGCTTATTGAAAAGGTAATATGGCCTTTGAGGATCTGTTATGCATTTATTTGATTTAGAGACTAATACTTCAGCTTTGCAGGCCCAGCAGAAGGGCGAACTGGTGGAGCAGCTCCGAGAAGAGCTCAAGATGAAAGAGGCTGAGACCCTAGGGTGGAAGCAACACATGGACCGCCTCGCTTCAGAGAAAGATACACTTCAGGAACAACTAACTTCAATCGAACGCCAGCTTCAAAATGCGAAGAAGGAAAGCTTGGCCCGGAGCCGCAAAATCGAGGAGCTCGAAGCTAAATCAGCTGCTGAGCTTGCGAAGGCTATCTGAGGCAGAGGCATTTGAGTCCTCGTACCGAGCTGACGCCAAAGCTGCTAACACTCGAGCACAGGAGATCTCCATTACGGCTGAAGTTAAGTTATCATGTGCTCTTTATCATGCCAGGTGGCAGTCCCGGAGAGAACCTCTCGAAGAGGTGCACGCTCGTGGCTTCGACCTCTCAGCTGATATTGAAAGAGCAAAAACTTTGGAGGAAGAGGCTGCCGTTTTGCTCTCTGATGACGAGGATTCCGCTAGTGGCTTCGAGAGTGGAGGAGATGAGGATGAAGTTCCCGAGGAGGAGGTTCCCGAAGATGCGGCTCCCGAGGATGCAGCTCCCGAGGGTGTGGCCCCGAAGTAGATTAGGTTCTTTTGCTTTGTTTTTGTGTAAGGCCTTTTGTGGGCATTGTAAATACCCTTTTATAAATATAAAGAATTTCCTTTGCTCCATCTCCGATTTGTATTGAATTCTGCTTTGTCTTTATTTTGTGGCAAATTTTAATAACTTCAATGATCAAGTGAACGTCGGCTCGGATTCTGAATAGAACAAACCCTTAGGTTTTTTAATAATCAATGGGCGATCTTCGAAATAATAACAGAATACCTCTTAAAGTTTTTTGTTAATCCTCGAGCTAAGCTTAAGTCAATATGATGCGAGCTCGGGATGATGGAACTCTTGAGTCCGAGTTGAATGAGAGCGAGTATCGAACTCTACATGCTTCGGCCCTTAGGCTCTTTTATATTGGCCCTTAGGCTCTTTTAGGTCGGCCCTTAGGCTCTTTAAGTTGGGCCAATTAGGCCTCTAGGATGGCTCTAATTTTTCCCTCTTTTCGGCTAAAAGACTTAGTGAATATTTCTGTATGCCTTAGCATGTGTTTTTTGTACCCGTTGGGTTTTTCAAAGGTTCGACCGATCGGAACCTCATTTGTAATCCGTTGGTGTAATGATAATCGAATATCTCTTGAGGCTTTTTCGAAGGCTAATGTTATCGAAGCCTTTAAATTATTCGGGGGCTGATTTTAGCGAAGCCCTTTATTATTTGCTTTTGCCGAGGGTAGCCTGATTTAACCAGTTTTTTAAATTATTTTGAAGGCCTTTAATTTATGGCGGAATTCGGACGTCTCCGAGCCACACTATTTTGGCCGTAGCCTTTTTATATGACCGTAGTCTTTAATATGGCCGTAACCTTTAATATTGTTGTAGCTTTCGGGTATGTCTTTTGGACTTGTTTCCCAATAACCCTTCGAACTTGTTCGAAAGGTTAGTCCCCGAGTATGATGGCCTTGGCCTTTATATTGCGGGGATTCCTCTTTGAGGTCTTATGAATTCTAGTTGTCGATGACTCGGATGTGTTGACTATCGATGACAGTCCCCGAGTATTCGAGGTGTATTCGTGTTTTGGCTCTTGAACCGTTTCTCACAAGATCACAAGTATGATGTTCGTATATTAGCAAATTTCTTTGAGACACAAAGTGTTTTGATATAAAAAGAATGCTTCTTTGAATAATTGGTACATGGGTACATGTTTTGTCGTCGGGGCTCGACTATTCTACATGGACACGGTTCATTTGACCGTTTGGCCCATTACAATGTTTTCCTATCGAGGCCCTCTTTGGCGTGAAGTATTTTCTTTGAAAATACCATCTCCGAGGGTGATGCCCTCAGTATTCGAGGTTGATTGTAAAGAAGCCTTGGATACTATTGAGTTCTCCTCAGGTAGCACATAGTTGTTGCCTTATTAAAAATCTCTCCGGTAAAACCCATTTGGGACAAAATCCGATCTAAGGGAAAAAGAGTACAACGCGTGCTTTAAAGCCTAAGGTCTTCGTGTAAAAAAGGGTGTCTTCGATGTCCTCGATCGAACACCTGCAATGAGTTAGTTTTAAATTCAAATGAACAAAAGGAGGAAATTATACCTTAGTAGTGATACATTCCAATTGTTCGGCAGTTGTTCGCCTCCCATCGTGTGAAGTTTGTAAGATCCTTTACCGATGACTCCGATGACTCGGTACGGTCCTTCCCAATTCGAGCCCAGTTTCCCTTTATTCGAGTCTCCAGTATTGAGGGTGACCTTCCGTAGAACTAAGTCCCCGATTCTGAAGTGTCGAAGGTTAGTCCTTCTATTATAATATCTCTCTATTCTTTGTTTCTGCGCCGCCATCCGAACAAGTGCAACTTCCCGTTTTTCATCTAATAGCTCGAGGGTATTATTCATAGCCTCGTGATTCGAATCCTCCAATGCATGTCGAAAACCTGGCGCTGGGTTCTCCCTCCTCGACCGGGATTAAGACCTCGGAGCCATATACCAAAGAGAACGGAGTAGCGCCCGTGCTGGACTTCGATGTCGTTTGATATGCCCAAAGGACCTCGGGTAGAACTTCTCTCCATTTTCCTTTTGCACCGTTCAACCTCTTCTTTAGGTTTTGAATGATAGTTTCGTTTGTTGACTCGGCCTGTCCATTCCTGGTTGGGTAGTACGGTGTTGATAAGATCCTTTATTTTGTGTGCTTCGAGGAACTCCGTTACCTTGTTGTCGATGAATTGCTTTCCATTGTCACATACAATCTCGGCAGGTATCCCGAACCGACATATGATGTGGTTCCAGATGAAGTCAATAACTTCCTTTTCTCTGACCTTCTTGAAGGCCTGTGCTTCCACCCATTTAGAAAAATAATCAGTCATAAACAAAATAAATTTAGCTTTAACTGGGGCCGTTGGTAGAGGGCTGACTATGTCCATTCCCCATTTCATGAAAGGCCATGGGGACATGACTGAGTGTAGTTGCTCTCCGGGCTGATGAATCATTGGTGCGAACCTTTGACATTTATCACACTTTTTAACAAACTCCTTAGTATCTTTTTCCATGCTATCCCAGTAATACCCTGTTCTAATAATTTTGCGAACCAAAGACTCGGCGGCGGAGTGATTCCCACAAGTGTCTTCGTGGATTTCTCATAGAACATAATCAGTATCCCCTGGCCCTAAACATACCGCCAATGGTCCATCGAAAGTCCTCCTGTGCAATGTTCCATCTTCATCCAATGCGAACCTAGCACCCTTGGTTCGTAGAGCCCTTGACTTTTTATGATCCGATGGGAGCTTTCCATTTTTCAAATAGTCGATATACTTATTCCTCCAATCCCAAGTCAAACTCATAGAATTTATTTCGGCATGACCCTATTCAACCATAGATCTCGATAATTGGACGACAGTCCCCGGGACGATATCATCTTCCTCAACCGACGATCCCAAATTAGCAAGTGCATCGGCCTCACTATTTTGTTCTCGAGGCACATGATGTAGAGTCCACTCCTTGAAGCGGTGTAAGGTTACCTGTAGCTTATCCAAGTATCGTTTCATCCTATCTTCTCAAACTTCAAAACTTTTGTTTACTTGGTTTACTACCAACAGTGAATCGCACTTGGCTTCAATGACTTCTTCCCCCAAACTTTTAGCTAGCTCGAGACCTGCAATCATGGCCTAATTCTCGGCCTCATTATTAGTGAACCTAGAAGTTTTGATAGATTGTCTAATGGTACTACCTGTTGGTGGTTTCAAAACAATCCGAGCTCGAACCCTTTTACATTCGAAGCACCGTCCGTGAAAAGAGTCTACACCCCCGATGATGTACCCGATTTTAGCAGGAGTTCTTTCTCCACTTCGGGTACGAGGTTCGGCGTAAAATCGGCCACGAAGTCAGCTAAGATTCGAGACTTGATGGTCGTTCGGGGCTGATATTCGATATCGTACCTGCCAAGTTCGACGGCCTATTTGGCCAACCGACCCGACAGTTCGGTCTTATGCAAAACATTTCGAAGGGGATAAGTAGTTAACACACATATTGGGTGACACTGGAAATATGGCTTTAACTTTCTAGATGCGCTTATTAATGCAAGTGCTAATTTTTCTAAATGAGGGTATCTAGTTTCAGCATCTCCTAGAGTTCGGCTTACATAATAAACAGGGAATTGCGTACCTTGCTCTTCTCAAACCAGTACCCCACTTACTGCTATCTCGGACACTGCCAAATATAAGTAAAGCTTTCCATCTACCTTCGGGGTGTGAAACAAAGGTGGGCTCGATAGGTATCGCTTCAATTCCTCCAAGGCTTGCTGGCATTTCGGGGTCCATGCGAAATCCTTTTTCTTTTTGAGCAAGGAAAAGAACCTGTGACTTCAATCTCATGACCTCGAAATAAATCGACCCAAGGCGGCTATTCGTCCTGTCAGCCTTTGCACGGCTTTCACACTATCCACGATTGTGATATCTTCGATGTCCTTGATCTTATCGGGGTTAATCTCGATTCACTGATTAGATACCATGAAGCCGAGGAACTTGCCCGAGCCTACTCCGAAGGCACATTTTTCCGGGTTAAGCTTCATGTTGTACTTTCTCAAGGTTTTTATTCTTGCAAATGAGTTAAATAGTCCTCTACGTGCAGGGACTTAACCAACATATCATCAATGTAAACTTCCATCGATTTACCTATCTGTTCCTCGAACATCTTGTTAACTAGGCGTTGGTATGTAGCTCCAACATTTTTTAGCCCGAAGGGCATAACATTGTAACAGTATGTTCCAAACTTAGTGATAAACGAGGTCTTCTCCTGGTCCTCCTGGTTCATCTGAATTTGATTGTACCCGGAGTAGGTGTCGAGAAAAGTTAGGATCTTGTGGCCGGCCGTGGCATCGATCATGCGATCGATGTTAGGTAGGGGAAAAGAGTCTTTAGGGCATAAGTCGTTTAAATCCTTATAATCTACACACATTCTAAGTTTATGTCCCTTTTTAGGAACTACAACTACATTGGCTAACCATTCGGGGTATTTACCTCCCGAATAGACCCTATTTTAAGAAGTTTGGTTACCTTATCCTTTATGAATGCATGCTTCACTTCGGACTGGGGCCTCCTCTTTTGCTTTACTGGTTTGGACCTGGGGTCGAGGCTTAGCCGGTGCGTTGTTATTTCTGGTGGGATCCCTGTCATGTCTAAATGGGACCAAGCAAAACAATCTATATTATCAATAAGAAATTGAATGAGTTTTTTCCTGAGTTCGGGGGTTAATTCCGTACCCAGGTATACCTTTCTCATGGTCATGTACTCGATCAGTATAACCTGCTCCAATTCCTCGACCGTCGACTTGGTTGCATCGGACTTTTCGGGAAAGACGAAAGTTCGAGGAGTAAGGAGATCCTCTTCTTCGTCTTCGGTTACCTGCTGCTCTGATTCAATCGAGGCTGGGGGCGGTGATTGCTATTTAACCGTCTAATTATCTTTGGTGCTTGACTATTTCGAGGTCGAAGGCGCTGGCACCGGTATCACCTCTTCGACTGCAAACATCTCTTTGACAGCATGTTATTCTCCGTAAACCGTGTTCACACCATC